ACACGGCTCCCAGGGAGGGGAAGTGGGGGTGAGGGTGGGGGTGCGGTGGAGGGGGTGTTGGCAGGGGGAGCAGAGGGACCGTGGAGAGCGTGCCTCTGTTTGCGCTGTCTGCCCCGGGGCCAGGGCCCGATGGGAGTTCAGTAGGGTTGTGAGTGAAGGGTGAGCTCCAGGCAGCCCAGCATGCGAGTGGCCGCAGGTGGATGGCAGGGTTCACGCTGTCTCCCCTGCCCCCCAAAGGCAGGGGGAGAGCAGAGATGGGGCACGTGGCCCAGAGCCTGGTCATCTGCCTTAACTCTGGGCCCGCTGCCTGTTAGCTCTGTGGCCTTGGGCAGGTCACTTCCTCTCTCCGTGCCTCTGTTTCCTAATCTGTAAAATGGGGCTGTTGGGAAGATCACATGCATTAATGCTGATGTTAAACGAATACACGCTTAGAACAGAGCCGCGCGCACAGCAGGCACGACAGCACGCGCTCATTAAATGAATCCACATCGGATTCCATCCCAGAAAACGGGGCTCCCACCTGCTCCCCACTTCCCAGAGCTGCTGGTTTTCTCCTCACCGATCCTGTAGGCAGGGGTGTGCATTCTCACTGCCCTTGAAAAGTGGGGGACTAACTCGTCTGAGCCCTGAATCCATTAACATGGAGGGGAATCCTGTTCCATAAACTAGGCCCGCGGGGGACGGTGGCTGTGAGACCCTCCACTTTGAACCCCGACCCTGACAGCCTGGCTGGCCGCCTCTCATTCCCATTTCCACGTTCACAGTCACTGGGAGGCGTAGACTTGGGTCCTAAGGTAAGAATAACTAATGATCAAATCGCTGTACAGTGCGGGCGAGCAGTTTATTAAAAGTCCCGTTAATTTGCTGGGTGCAGTACCATTTATTTACAGAAGAATGTCTGTATTTTAAACGGTCTTTTCCCGTCTGAAACCTCACTGGAGAGACGAGCTGGCGGAGGCGGTGGGAGGGCTCCGCCTGGCGGCTGCGGGCGCCTCAGCGTGTGCAGGCCGCGATCTTGTCTGGCAGAGGGAGAGATGGGAGTGATAGGAAGGGGCTGGCCATCTGGAGGGGTGAGCCGCGCGAACGTGCTCCTAATTGGTGAGAGCCGCAGGGATAGCGCCCGTTTCTAGGCCTGAGAAAAGCCCGCGTTCAGAAAGTTACTCCCGGCGCCGTTGTCTGCCCAGCAGTGTTAAGGGTTATCGTTAAGCAACAGAGACGGGGGAATGCAGACTTTTGAAACCTCAGGGAGTCCCAGGCCGGCGAGACAGAGCTTGTCTGGGGCGTGACCAGGGAGGCGCCCGGACATTGAGTTGCAGGCTGCCCCCAGTTCCGATCCCTCCGTGTCTCCACTACGGTCACCATTTGTGCCGTGTGGCATGCAGTGCCCCGCTCGGCCAGCAGGTGGCAGGAAATAACAAACTAAGGCGAGGCGAGGCCGCAGCGGCGGGCCCTGTTGTTGCAGGTCCAGCTGAGATGGGTGATTTCCGGTGGCAGCAACCAGGAGGGTGCAGGCTCAGCGTCATCGTCATCGGGGAAGGGGAGTGGTTTTAAGTCTCCCCAGCAATAGCTTTTGTTGAATTACAATGACTGTACGTTGGGGGCCCACAGGCTCCCAGCCAAGCCTGGCCAAGCCCCCAACATCCTCCTGGGGAGGCGCGGGAGGGAGCCCCTTCCTTCCAGGCGTCAGTGTGGGAGGTGGGAGAGCAGTCCTGTCCGCTCCCGCTCTCCCCCCCCCCCCCCCCCCCCCCCCCCCCCCCCAGCCCACTGGGCTGCCTTGGGAGGCTGGGCGGGAGGGCAGGAACCGGACAGGAGCCACGTGTCTTTACCTGGATTTCAGGGGCTTGAGGAGGGAAAGGAGTTACAGGGACAGGCACAGGGTGTGTGTGTGTGTGTGTTAGCGTATGTGTGTGCAGGGTGTATGGGGTGTGTGTGTGTGGGGGGTTTCTGAGTGTGTGTAGGCTGCGTGTGTGGGTGTGCTGGGTGTGTGGGTGGGTTTCTCAGTGTGTAGGCTGCGTGTGTGTGCGTGTGCGTGTGTTTCTGAGTGTGTGTAGGCTGCGTGTGTGTGGGGGGGCGGTGGGAGGGATGTGTGTAGGGTGTGTGGTGAGTGCTCTGCGTGTGTGTGCGTGTGTGTGTGTTTCTGAGTGTGTGTAGGCTGTGTGTGTGTGTATGGGGGTGGGAGGGATGTGTGTAGGGTGTGTGGTGAGTGCTCAGCTTAATCTGGTTTGCCTGGGGCTGGCAGGAGGGTCACCACGTCCTCTGGGTCTGTCGGTCCACCGGGGGCCTTTCCTGCCTCTAGGCTCCGGCCCTGGGAGCTGTTTCCTCTCCACTGTTGTCCTAGTCCTTTGGGGGCCGCGCCAGCAGCCGAGCCCCTGGTGCCCCTCCCTGCCCAGCTGAGCCCTGAGCAGGCCGGGTCCTGGCTGGTGGGCCGCGTGCAGGAGCGCAGATGGACAGCAGGGGGAGCAGGGAGCAGCAGGCAGGCACCAGGGGCGGGAGAAACCTGTCTGTCCCTCTCTGTCCCTCTGTCTGTCCCTCTGCTCAGAGGCTCCCACGGGGGTCCGGCCTGGCTCTCCTCACTCGGGGCGGCTCTCTGAGGGGGCCTGCCTGAGATGAGGGCAGCCTGTCCCCAGGGTGCCCCGGCTTGCTGGCTGCGCCCAGGCCTTTAGACAGGACTCCCCAGGCCGGACAGGGGACCAGGGGCGCGGGGACCTGGGAGGGTCCCTGTGAGGCCTGGGCGCCTCTCACCTGTGCCCGCGGCTCCCACCAGCCCCTGTGCCAAGCACCCGCCGGCAGGAAATAAATGGTGAGGTTTTAATCACCTGGAGGTCATTGGAAGATGCTGAGGGAAAAGAAAGACGCGAGACACGTGGCGCGAGGCCTCATGGAAGCGGGTGTTCACGCCGCGTCTAGGGCGGGGTTGACAGGACATCGAGAGCCAGCCGGGGG